GAGGTATGGGGGCTGCCCAAAGCCCATGGCAGCTCGACTCTTAAACAGAGCGGAAGAGTCAGGGGAGGAGCAGAGCCTCCGCGGGAGGGGAAGTGCCCGGCCGGCCGCTGGGGTCCGGAGACAAGGGGGCTGCCTGAAGCCCATAGCGCTCGGGCAGCTCGACTCTTAAACAGAGCGGAAGAGTCAGGGGAGGAGCAGAGCCTCCGCGGGAGGGGAAGTGCCTGGCCGGCATTTTCCCGGACATGTTCGGCTTTTTGGCAATTCCCCCCGGACGGGGGTTTGAGTGCCGAAAAGCCGGACATGTCCGGGAAAAAGAGGACGTATGGTAACCCTAACTGACTTTTACATAAAACCTGAACTGAATTGTTCAGGAGCTGTTGCTAATTGATGTCCCCTAGACTCCTGGTCAGGAACACAAAGGGGGTAATTTCCAAAACATTGTGACTTTATGTTTCTGCAATAGAGTCTAGGGGCACTGCCCTGTTCTTTTAAACAAGGGGTTAACAGGAAGTGCTCGACTTCCCCTCCCCATGTGCTTGTTCTCATGAGCAGGACTATGTGAGTGTCTAATAAAGGGAGGAAAGGGGAGATAATGCCTTTGAGAAGGTTAAGTTCCACCCTAAGAACCACAGGACTGGGTTGACCCTCAAGCTGGGGTTTTTATTGTTCGGTTTCTGATTGTCTTTCTTGTCAAAAAACACTTAACCCTTGCTGACCGTGACTGGTTTTGTCTCATGCTGACTTGTTTCACCCCCTGACAGCATAGGTGCTGGAACTAGGAGTGCGGGGGGTGCTGCAGCACCCCCTGACTTGAAGTGGTTTCCATTATATACAGGGCTTGCAGTTTAATTCAATGGCTCTCAGCATCCCCACTATACAAATTTTTCCAGTGCCCCTGCCTGACAGGTTCCAACAGATTTATTTTCTGATTGGGTATCAAAAGGGCCCCCCTTATCTGCAGGAGGAGTTAAGTTATCAGGTTTGGACCTTTTCTCACACAGACCCAAAAGACATATATTCTGACCACCCAAAGCAGAGACCATGGAAGGGCAACTGGAACTCCTCATAAATGCTGCCTTTTGTTGTTGTTGTTAAGATGCACCTGCCATATTGGTGACTCAAAAACAGTTTTAAAAAATGACAATACAGACAAAAACCTCACAAATGTTGACCAAAATTTTGTGTCTAAATTTTTAAAAATTAACTGCTACACTATATAAGAGCTATTTAAAAGTGCTTATGCTAGCTAACATGAAAGGGAGATGGTGGGTCCATGACTGCCCCAGGCATGGGTAAGGGAGAAAAGGAGAAGAGGAGGGACAGGTATTTATACCCTTTATCCATGGTAGGAGTTCCCAACCTGGGGATCATGACCCAGTGTCCAAGGCTCACCACCGCCTTGCCCATCCCCTATTGCTAAATAGGAAGGCAGTCAATGTTAGATGGGAAAGAGGCTTTCAAAAGTGTTGTGAGCCAGTGTTTTGTGGAATTCTGGGCTCAAAGGAATTCCTCATGCCAGCTAATTACCCACAGCCACATACCTAGGCAAGCAACTCCTAAAGTGAGGCTCTATGGAGGGGTTGGGCAATGCATACAGTGGCCTTCCTTTTCCTGAAAATCAGTCACTGAATTTTCTGGCATTCACAGAACATGTTGATACTGCTGTTTCCTGCCTCACAAATTGGTATCTGATATCCCAGCCTTAAATGTCATCTGAGATCCCACTTCTACTGAGTACCCTGCATTTCTGTTGTTTTCCATAGAAGCTGAAAGATGTTCAGCACCTCTTCAGGCATTGTAGGTTCAGGCCCTCAGAGGGTCAGTAATGGTTGGTTAATGGTTGCAGCATCTGACAGACTGCATCTCAGACGCTATGTATTCTTCTGCCCCAGGAGGAGAAAAGTGAACTTGTGTGAAGTGAAATAAACAGATCCTGGGGAGAAGGAGCTGCCCTGAATTTTTTTAACCCATGTTCCAATCCTTTCTCCACAGCCACAGGGATTTAAAACCAGAAAACCTACTGCTGGATGAAAAGAACAACATCCGGATAGCAGACTTTGGAATGGCATCACTGCAGGTCGGGGACAGCTTGTTAGAAACCAGCTGTGGGTGAGTGGCTCAGACTGTATAATAGAAATCAGAGATTGGCAGAGAACTCTTGGAACAGCCACTCACGTGCTCTCCCCAAGTAGAGACTTACTTGGACACATCTAGCTTTGGGCTAACATTTTATTTGTAGGATGGGGGTGGGGTGTTTCACGCATGCGTGTGTACGTGCATGTGTGTACGGGGGAGATTATAGATGTATATGCTGTGCAGCCCAGTGATTTCAGTTGTGGTCGCTTACATCAAGCTCGAATTTCCCCAGTACAGTAGTAAATCCATAAGCTATATATAAGATATGTTAACTAGACCCAGGGCCGGCTCCAGCATTTCTGCCGCCCCAAGCAAAAAAAAAAAAAAGTCGTGATCGGCGGCGGCAATTGGAAAAAAAAAAAGCCGCAATCGGCGGCGGCAGTTCAGCGGCAGGTCCTTTGCTCCTAGAGGGAGTGAGGGACCTGCCGCCCCGAATTGCCGCAGGTGCCGCCCCCTCCCTGGGCCGCCCCAAGCACCTGCTTGTTAAGCTGGTGCCTGGAGCCGGCCCTGACTAGACCAATATTCTCAAAGCTGACTAATGATTTAGAGTGCCTCAATTTTTGGAGGTCCAACTTGGAATGCATTAAAGGGGCCTGGTTTTCAGAGGGTGAGTACTCAATATTTTCTGAAAATCAGGCTCCTTTAAGATGTCTCAGGTGGACACAAAAACTGAAACACTCAAAATCCACATCACTTCTGAAAATGTTGGCCTATTTCTTCTTTCACTGGCCATATCACATTCTTGGGGAACTGAAAATTGATAAAACAATCGTGATCATTTATCAAGAGTGGATTTAAAAAAGAATACCTGGGGAGAAAAACATTTAAATGATTTGTAAGGGAATTTGTGTCCTGCTCAAACTGTCTGTTGTACATCTCAGTCTCATCACTTTTTCTTCATCCTCCCCACAGTTTCACTGCTTGTTCACAAATAGCACCAGGGTGGAAGGTAGTTGGGTTTTGCATGCTTACACATAGGGTGAGAATCTAGGATACAAACAATAAATGAGACAGAAGGTTTTAAAAATATTTTGCATTGGTTTAATTGTCAATGGAACAGCTGATTTCTGATCAAATTTATATCATTACAATTCATATGTAAACCCATTAGATATGACAGACTTTCTAGGGAGTTCCAAGTCTCTAAAGCAGCCAAAAATAAACACTAAAAATTATTACAAAGAGAAACTGAATACCAGGTTCCCTAAATAGTCTTCTTAAATCACTGAAACACATAAGAATGAGATCCCCCATTTTTCAGGCCTCTCTAAGTGGTAGTTCTTGTAGTGACTCAATTGTAGATTACCCCAGCTCACCACTTGTGGAACCTGCTGTACACTAACACCACCTACCGATAGTACTAGGGAATTGCTTTCCTGACCACTTGCTGTCCAATGAAAGGTCACTTATGAGCTGCCACTTCCAACTGAAGAGAGTTCTCATCAAACAAGTGGTAGACTGAACAACAGCATGAAGGGGCTACAGCTTCATTATCCATATATGGGATTTAACTCAACACAAGTTTTGTATTTTGGTATGAATTTGGTTCTCATCACAATGAGCTCAGTGTTTTCAGCGATGGATAGTGCAGTCTAGTTCATGGTCTTCCTCCCACACAGTTCTGTTCACTCCTTGCCTTCAGCACTTCTGCAATTGCAGTGTTGAGGGTCCCACACATATTGACACCAATCCTGACCTGTAATAGTCCCTGATCTTCCAATCTAACATCCCCTCACAGCTATGCCAGTCTGGATGTGCAGCAGCCCCAACTATTCCAGTTTGCAGCCCCCTCGCAACTGTGTCTGTGCACCTCAACCTGAACATTCAGCACCTCTTCCATTCCAGTCTTGGGTCCCCACACAATGCTGCCTCTGCATTTCAAGCCTGACTCATTCTTCCCTTGTTTCTCCAGTCCTGAACCTCTCCTGGGCAAAGGAGGCCAGGAGTGAATAATTGTATGATGTTTGTGGTGCGGACAAATACCTGTTGATTAATTGATTGAGATCCACCAGTTCTTTACACTTGTACCCCAAGTCAGGATTTGAATTCATACCTACATAGATGAAAGGTGAATAACTGTGAGGCTCCATTTTATTGCTAGCAATGCTGCTTTCAACCCTACTTTCTCAGGTAAGAAATGAAATTCTCACCTCAGTTATTGCAACACCTCTATGTACTTCTAAGGAAACTTTCTTTCCTCACCCAAACAAACAATCTTACCTTGCCTTCCAGGACTTTTCAAATTCCTAGGGAACCACTCAGCAGGGATCCAGAGCTTGTTAGTGGATGGCACTGTCAGCCCAGCCTAGTCTTGAAGGGAGACCTTCCTTCCATCAGCAGTGCTGGAATTCAAACCTCAGTGCCTCAAGCAGAGCAAACCCCCATGTTGCTGCCTTAAAATGCACTAATAAAGAAATCAATGGAATGGAAGAGACATGCCTGTAATAAACAGAACACAGCAACGCTGTGATCCCCTGCCTTGCAGATGCATTTTAAGAACGGCGCCAATCACTGGGCCTCCATGTGAGCTATTACACCACTTCATTAATTCTCCTGGCATGGGGCCCAGCATGGCTGATACTGGTGCCTTGTGATGTGTCTGGTTTAGGGATAAAAGAAAGGAGAGAGGAAGGAATATATAATGGCATGCCAGATATTCACAAAGAAAGGCAGTAGAATTCTGTCCTTCCCTCGTAGAGTTCAGTAATCAGCATCAGAGCTTTTCAAGGCAACAGTTTTACCTTCACTTGCTCCACAGTCTGTGGCTGGTGTTTTCGGCCATTGTGAATGTACAAAAAATGGCTGAATTGTGGCTGAGTTAGTGAGCTTTAACAATTAGCTTCTTCGGGCATCCAGAAGTTAATTTGCAGAGGGTTTTGTCTGTGCTGTGAACATGGATAATGGCATGAAACAGTAACATTCCCATTGCTAGTCATGCAAAGAGTCTCCAGTCTTCAGTCAATGGAAGCATGAGGATCAGATGGCATTCATCGATGTGGGGAAGCTAACTTTTTAATGGTGTGGCATAAGGATTTGAGTGTGAAGTCACAGACCCTTATTCGATGCAGGTTGAGCTTCCTAGTATGACGTATAATTTGGATGCATTTCAGGTCGACAAGCTCCGATTGGCATCAGAGGCAACGTTACATGGCTCTGAATGTTATTTTCATGTAGCTGCTGATATTTAGTATTCCATGCCTCAGTTTTACTGTTTGATGGGAATTACTCATTAGATCAGCACAGATTGTTTTCTATAGCACTGATGGCTACAGATAAAAATGTCCCTGAAGGAAATGATAAAAGTACAATCTGATTGTGTTTATGTGTGTCGGAGGACATGGAGGAGGAGCAGGGAAGTGGACTCGCTGTTTCATTGACATAATTTGTCACTAACTGACTGTGTGTCAGGCCTTAGTTGTAATAAATCCCCATTACTGGAAACCTGTATCTCTCAAATCCTCAAGCACAGTGCAGAGGAATAACCGACATGTGTCCCTAGACCTCTGAGACGAGGAGGAACGATGCTTAGGGTCTGCAGGGATGATAATGACACTGGCAACACAACTTGCTGCAGAAACTGTACAACAAGGCAAGTCTTCTTCTGGAGAAACAGTCCCTCAAGTGCAGAAGTAACACAGCAAATCTTTGTATTCCTCTAAGAGCTGGGGAGGCCTATGAGCAGACAGCAGATGGAGCTGGGGACTTGTGGGATGCAGCTTTTATTAGTTCAGATTTCTTCATCTCTTCCTGGTCTTTACCCTTCCAGGCAAAGAAAACCCAGGCAATTAAATACCGAGATGCTCTCTCATCCCTCCAACAGTCATTTCTCCACTGTGTGCTGTGTTGTGATATTGTTGAATGGTAAATGTAACTCAATGCATTTGTCTGTCCCTAGCTCAGAGGAATGATTGGCTTATGGTTAAAGCACTGTACTGGGACTCAGGAGATCTGGGTTCTATTCCTTGCACTACCACAGACTTCCTATGTGACCTTGGGCAAGTCACTTAATCTCTCTATGCTCTGGTTCCCCATCTATAAAAGGGGATGATACTACTTGCTGTCTCCCACCCTTTGTCTGACTTATCTTGTGAGTTCTATAGGGCAGGTACTGTCCCTTGCTGTGAGTATGTATTGTGCCTTGAATAATGATGCCGCAATCTTGGTTGGGGTCTCTAAGTGCTACCGTAGTATATGTTATAATAATTTCTACAGAAATCTCAGAAAAGATATGAGGAGATTGGGGGATTCTGTGGGACCCTATCCCATCTCAAGATCTTAGAGGGGCAGTCTGAAAAATGGAGGGAATAAAAGGAGACATTGTCAAAGTATGATTGATGAGAGTTTGTAATCATCTTTCCTGATTTCCTGTTGTTTCTTGTGCTGTTTTAGAAGCCTGGAAATCATTCTCCTCCCCCTTCCCAATTCTTATCCCAGCTCAGAAAAACTGAGTCCCTGATGGAAAGGGATTGCTGCAGGCAGCTGAGTGATTGAGAATCCAGGAGCAGTGTTAGTCTCTATGCTGACTGGCTCCAAATCTCTGTGCCCAAAACAAACAGTAGCTAAGGGAAAGCAGCTGACACATAAATGTGGCTCACCCCAACACCTGAAGAAGCAGTCAGTACAGAAATGTATGGTCCTGTTAACCGGTCCTCAATGAACTATCTCCACGGGGACTCCCTGCCCTAATCCAAAAAGCAGCATGGCTGTGGGAAGAATGATGATGATGATTGTCTCTAATTTTATTTAGAATGAGAAAAGAAGTCTTGCACCAGTCACTTTATAATGGAGGAAGAAAGAGCAGCCACTTCAAACCCCAGCTCAGCCAATGCCTCCTGCCACAGCTCTCCCGCAAGACATTTCCCAGTACCCCTTGCAGGCCCACAGACTCCCTGGATCTATCAAATAAGCATGGCTGCTCAATCGGGATGATTATCAGTTGAATTTAGGCACAGAATGTGTTCTCTTTATCTGCA